GACACTGGCAGGTCGTGTCAAACAACGCATAAAGGGAAGCAAAAATGTATAAATTCGAATATAAATGATGAAAACACACATGAAATCGAAAGCAAATCAAACTTAAAATACGAGAAATTTATGCCCTATCAAAATGCATGCAATAAATCAAAGAATCAAGAAAGTATGTATCAATTTGTTGTTAAATATTTGGTTGCATGCTAGTTTAAGCAAAATATGATGACAAACCAACGAAATGCAAAGATTTTGCAATAGGGTTTTTAAGGATGAAATGAGAAATTTTAGAAGCGATGAGGAAGATGAAATATATTGCAGATTATATAGGGTGTTCGAATTTTAGAATTAAAAGCCTAAAATAACACATTTTAGATTCAAGACTCCGAAGGATATTTTTGAGTTTTTGAATGGCCTTTGAGAAGCTAGAAATGAAATTAGTTAGAAAGTGTACTAAATCTTAGTCAAATAATAAATTAAAATTTTCTATTCTCAAGGATTGCTCAATTTTGACTAAACAATTATATTGTACTAAAGATATTCAAGTGGGGATTTTGCATAAGGATTTGTTTAACAAAAAATAAAGAAGAAAATAGGTTAAATTTATCAAAGATTAAAAATGAATCAACCTTTTTGAATCCTTTATTTCTCCATATTTGGTAATTGTGTCTATTCTCTGAAATTGATTCTCTAGTATTACAATGAGTTAACAAAATTGTTGTTACCAATTGCTTGGCTCATAACTCTCTCTTCCAATTACAATACCCTAATGTCTTTGGTGAATTCATAATCAAATGAGGTTTTATTGGACGTTAATTTTTATATCACAAATGAATAATTCAATATATATAAAGTAATTATTGATTGAACAGTTAAATTAAATTGAATTTCAAAAGTTATAGTTAATACTCAATCTCAACGTAAAATCAATTCATACATTTGTTAGCATATTAAAGATATTGAACACAAATCTAATTGAATAATACTAAATTTTTCATAAGGGTTTGTTTAACTAAAAAAGAAAAGTAAATAGGTTAAATTTATCAATGATTAAAAATGAATCAACCTTTTTGATTCCTTTATTTCTCCATATTTGGTAATTGCGTCTATTCTCTGAAATTGATTCTCTAGTATCACAATAAATTAACAAAATTGTTGTTACCAATTACTTGACTCATAACTCTCTCTTCCAATTACAATACCCTAATGTCTTTGGTGAATTCGTAGTCAAATGAGGTTTTATTGAATTTAATTTCTATATCACAAATGAATAATTCAATATATCTAAAGTAATTATTGATTGAACAGTTAAATTAAATCGAATTTCAAAAGTTATAGTTAATATTCAGTCTCAGCTTGAAATCAATTCATACATTTGTTAGCATATTAAAGGTATTGAACACAAATCTAACTGAATAATACTAAATTTGAAGTTAATTTAAAGAATAATACAAGATTTAGAGAATAAAGTTGATCTTCGATAGTGTAAATCCTTCAACCTTTGCTCTAAAAAACGTTATTTTTGTCAAAATTCAATAATAATTCTAAACCCACTACTACAGAAAAGCCATACCACAACGGGTGGAAAAGGAATACCACAACGTCTGACCAACCGTTGTGAGGTAAGGGTACCCTTCGCTTTCTTCTCTTTAAATAGGAGTTGATAGTGGACTTTTAGGATTGAGAGAAACTACAATTTCACAATTCAGCATCGTAACAATTTCAAAATATTTTTCTCTATTTTCCGTCCATTTATATTATGATTTAGACTTTTACTTCTTCATAAAAGTTGTAACTCTATATGTTACCTTTCATTTTTCATCGATCGCACTTCAGTCAGAGTTACGAATAATATATATATATATATATATATATATATATATATATATATATATATATATATATATATATATATATATATATATATATATATATATATATATATATATATATATATATATATAATACGACACCAATATTATGATGTAAAATGTGTTAAAATATAATTGTGAGTCTACTTAAAAATTCGATGCATCTAGTTTTTTTAGCAAGTTGGCATTTTCTTTGACTTCTTAAGACATAAAATTAAAAAAAAAAAAAAAACACTCCAAAATGGAATTTTAACATGAAAATCGTCACTTAATCAAATAAAACCCAAATAGTTGAACTTTACTAAAAAATTTAATTAATTAATGACAAAAGCAATAAATGTTAACTAAATTAATTAAAATACTTAGATAAAACTTCTAAAAACGATGACTAAGGCTCCTTTGATTTGGTTTTGCATTAATCTTGTTCTTGAGCTGAAAAATGAAGGTTACATCCGGATATACATCTCCAAATTCACCTCTACCTATTTTGGAAATGTATCTCCGAAGTTGCTTGTTATTGTGAATTTTTTTAACAGTTTTTCTGTTTTGGTTTGTATTAGATATGGTGCATCCAAATATGTTTCCCAAAGATGTTATAAGTAATGATGTAAAACCAGATGAAGTGAATGATGATGTTAAACTTTATGAGGTGAAGGATGATGTTAAATTGGGTGCTAGACCGGTTGATGTCAAGTTAGATGTTGGTCAACAAATTAGAAATGAACAACCATTTACTGCTCATGAACAAATGCTTGAATGGGTCTGCATGGAAGCCATGAAATTGGTGTTTTTCATTGTAATCGGAAGGTTCTAATAGAAGGCAAGCATTTGTAACCATGAGATACGAGAGAAGTTGCATTTTGGAATCCGAAAAAGAGGTCAACGTTACAATTCGATTTTGTAATGCATTTTATGAGTGCGTTTGTGTGTGTCAGATATCCATATTGAGTGGATTGTAAATGTTAAGGATTATTGGAGTGGACGACACATTTTATAAAAGAGACGAAAACTTGGCCAAATTACTTTTTGGAAATGATGGAAGAGTTCACCAAATTTAGCGAGCTTGAAAGAGAATCAAATAAGGAAAAGTTAAAGGAGGAACATGTAGTAAGATTGTAATCGATACACTTTTTATGAATGTATTGTTGTAAACGATGTAATCTTGATATAATTTAATGCATAAGTAATATATATTCAACAAAAATGGTGTTAATGTCGATTATTTTAGTTTACAAATTTTACGGTTTGCATTTTTTGTTTTTATATACACAAGTTCTGGTTTGATTTTGGTTCAGGGTAATTCTGAATATGCATATCTGAATAAACTTCATACTTACTAAAAAACCATTAGGGAACTTTTCGAATATGCATATCCATAAACACCATTTTTCGTTAAAAAAAAAGGCTTAACCGGAGATGAATCTCCGAAAAGTGACCTCATGACATGATAAGGTTTCAAAGGTTTAAAGTGACCCAATACTTGTATAAATATGTTGTCTCTCAACCCATATTTTCTACAAAACACCCTACAACCAGAGAATGAATGCATATCCCCACCTTGCATTTGTGTATTTCAATGGAAGAAAGTTGTTGTTTCTATTTAGGGTCACTGATGACATTTCTCTCGCCGTTTTGATATCCAAACTGAATACTCTACTACGATATTCAGAAAATTGGAGAGTTGTTAAGCTCGAGTACGGTTCACCATCGCTTGACAGCGAAAGGAAGATACAGTTCACCAACTTTGAACTGAAGACAAATGAAGATTTACAGGTCATTTGGATGCAAAGATTGAAAGATCAGCCGGCGATATTATCAATATGTTGCAACGTCCTGAACTACTCGTTTATAAGGATATATAATGTTAAATTTATGTTAACAACCATCTATATAGTGTTGAGTGTTTTAATTTAATGTCAATTTGATTTTGTTTATAGATCTTACTTATATTGTTTCTATTTCTAGTTTGAAGTATCTAAACTACTTTATCTATCTATGAAATATATCAATAAAACATTCGAAAATACAACTCCGAACAAAAATTAAATATATTTAAAGTGTCCCACTAGTTGGCGTTCAATTTGGTGAAAAATAAATCATCAGAAAATACATCTCTAAAAATAAAAAACATTTTTTACTTTTCATCAAAAGTTTAGAAAAGCCTATAAAAAAGAGAAAAGAAAATGCATTTCTTCCTCGTAGGCCTCTCCATTTGGGTCCTTCTCTGTATTCCCTTCATTGGCCTTATTGTCTGTTTCCAATGCATTGGTCCATTGCGCATATTCACTTGTGACTCATTTTTCACATTAACTTCATTGAGTCCACCGCATTATATGCAATCCCAAGAATATCTTTAACAATCTTTGGCTGTGACAATGGGTGCATAAGATATATATATATATATATATATATATATATATATATATATATATATATATATATATATATATATATATATATATATATATATATATATATATATATATATATATATATATATATATATATATATATATATATATATGCACTTTCCCATGAATTCTTGAAATGTTTTTCTTCTTAATACATAAATAATCTTGCAGGAAAACCATATTAATCTTGTACATCATTCATAAAACCACATGGACTCTTCTACTAGGTAACTCAATTCCTTCAAACCACCCCTAATTTCAAAATAGGACTAATAATAAGGATCACAAAACGAACTTATCTCAATTCCATTATAACTCAAATGATGAAATTTGCCAAAACCCTCTACCCCATGGTGTAAGATGCACTCAATTCACCCTCAATCACATACAATTCCAGAAGAAAAAACAAACTTAAATAAGAAAGTAATTCACAAACCTAAATTGAACTGAGCACAAATAAAATCTAAATTAACTTAGGCATAAAAAATAAAATTAAAAAAAAGTCAACTCTTCCCAAATAATGACGTCATATTTCATATTTCCCTTTTCATCACTTTTTATATTTGAAATTGGTGGGGTTGTTTTAGTTTTGTCTTGTTGTGTGTATCTAAGGCAAAAAAAAGTTTTAAATACTACTCAGCATTCCCCTTTCATCTTCACTCTCATTCTCTTCTCCTCCTAACAGAATAACAAATAACAATAACTAATTCTCAAATCACGCGCCATGTATAGAAACTCCAACCCCACATTTTCACGCGCCGCCGATTCCCTCAACAATTTCAATTTCCCCTCCCCTATAGCGTCCTCATTGCAGCATCAGCAACCACTCTGCAACTACGACTCGCTATCGCAACTCAACTCGGAGGTGAGTTACAATAATAATGCTGGTGGAAATTATAATAGCTGTAGCAGCGGGTGTACTAGCTACATGGGATCGCCGAGTTCGCTGGCGAGTTACGAGACTCAACGAGTTTCAGACCAGTTGATGCAGAGAAGCATTAGTAGCCACTCGCTGCAAAAGAATCATCCACCCCACCGTCACCATAATCCTTTTTCTTCTTTGTTTGCTGAATTGCTTGATACAGAGAATGGTCCGGTGCGACGAGCTTATAGTGCCGGTGACATTCAGGTTCCTTTTCCTCTAAAATCCACCATCAAATATTCACTTTGCAACCACCACAATTTATGTTGCACTAACCGCAATAACTGCAGTTGCAAATATTGCATCTGCAATATCTGCGACTGCAAATGCAATTTTAAATTATGATTATAATATTAATAATTATGAAAATAAATATAGAAAATAATATTCATTTAAAATCTATTATTATAATTTTTTTAATATATGGTGCATGTTTTTATATATGAACAGAGAGTTCATGGAATGCAACAATATTATCATCAATCAGACAGTCCTTTGTCAACAGAGAGCAGCATGATAATAGAACAAATGAGCAGACCAGCTAGTCCTTACAGCCCACAAGAAAAGAAGGTCAGGATTGAAAGATATAAATCCAAGAGAAACCAGAGGAACTACAACAAGAAAATTAAGGTTATTTTTGTCTTTTTATTTGTTATTTGAATTATTGTCTCATTTTACTAGATATCAATTTTTATTATTATATAATAAAAATTTCTTCCAATTTAATCAGCAGAAGCTCTATGTTTGAATCCAATCCGAGATCTTCATTCTTAAAAGATTAATCTCTGCAGTTAGATATAAAAAATACTAAATTTTTATTGAAAAAAAATTATTATTATATATAAAAGTAGATTATACAAAAAAAAAAAAAAATCTTTCTATATATATTACTCTATTTCAATATATTAAAAATTAAGTTATTTTATTGTATTGCAAAATGTCTTTAAATGTATGACATGTGACAAACACAAAATCATCTCATACTTTTGTGTTGTTGTTATATGAGGTTATTGGTATAACCATTACTCCTAATTTAAGCAATTACAAGTGTTGTGTTACTTTCCAACACATTGTAGTGTATCCACATGGATACTATTTAGTCATGAAAATAATCCAATTATGTACAGTAAAAGAATCTTAATTTTGTTTTCTTCTTGGAACTAGTATGTTTGCAGAAAGACATTGGCAGACAGTAGGCCACGAATTAGAGGAAGATTCGCTAAGAATGATGAAATTGTAATGAATCCTCCAATTCAATGGAGCCATAATAATGGAGAGGAATTAGAAGATGATGATGAAGAAGAAAATTGGGACAATTTCTTTCACTCATTGCTTCCTACTTCAAATCTATCTCATGACGAATTTCAACATAATTCTTCTTTTGGTGTGCAATATTGAAATATCGCGCATTTGATCTATAAATTAAGTGAATGTTTGAATTAACAGTATAATTAAACAAATTATAATGATTAAATATTTTTTTATAATTTTGTTAATTTAACTGTAAATTCAAACATACATTTAATTTTTTTTAAATATTGTGGTGCACTTTTGATTTTGATGAAAGTAGATAATGTAAATGTAACTATATAGAGTTATTTTAATCATGGATGTGACCATGTGCATAAGAGTTTCAATCTAGCCTAGGGTGGAATTTTTTAGTGCCCTTTTATATATTTCTATAGGGTAGATTAGGGTTCAATATTTTATTGTTGGACAAAAAGTTTAACAAGTTGTACTAGGTTTGATACCTATGTATTTTGTATTAATAAAATCATATTATATATGAACTTTTAGTTGATTAATGATTATGCATTTATATGAAAAAAAGAAGAGAGAAATATTAAAAAGTAAGAAGGAAATGAAATATTTTAGTGGTAATCACTTTCGGCAGCACCTATCACTTCTTTTACAGTGAAATTTAGGGAAAATAATAGTGGACTGCTTTGAATTTGTCTTCAAGCTCGGAAAGAAAGGCTTTTTCACTTAAAAATAAAGACAAAACTAACCCAAAAAAACAACCAAAATAGATAAATTTGTATGAATTTCTTTTACTAGTATTTTGTTTTGTATTATATTAAGAGAGTTTGTTGAAATATTTTATTATTAGTTGTATTATAATATTATCATGTCGACAAATATCTTTTTATTATTTATATTACTTATTATGTAATTGCTAGCTCTCAATAGCAACTCTCTTGTTTTCATGTGGCTTGCTATGAGAAAGAAATTTTGTTTTTTAACTATGAGTTTTTTTTAACTACTTCAACAGCATTAAACTATAATGCATGAGGATCTTGAGTTATTAAACTAAGAAATACATGAATAAAAATTAATGTAAGTTAAAGAGATCAAATGCATAAAAAGGTTTGATTGATTGAAAAGTTATATCAAATAATTTATTAGTTATCACATCTACATCTACAAAGGAAAGTATCCTATTAGCCATAGCCTACAAAAATATTGTCTTATTAGGATAGTTACGCGAGTAATGTGAGTGTTGTGTCTACTTGAAATATGTGGTGTTTCTTCTTCGACTTTGTGTCTTTCATGTCGCAACATATTCCATTGATCATATTCTCAATGCATAATTTTTCTCAAATCCTGATTACATAATCTTCTTCTTCAACCAGTGGCGTTATTAGCATAGGACATGGTTATAATGCATAATTGTCTAGTTTTGTTGTTTACCAAGTTTAAAGTCTTAGTGATCACGACAAATCTAGTAGGTTTAACAAAGATTTGGTAGACTCTAGTTAGGTTGCATTCATACTTAACTTGCTTGCTATCAGGTGAGGGGAATTATCTTATTCATTAAAAGTATGTCTTATTGATTTTGACTAACATGTAATTTATTTTTAGATGTAAACATATCTTGTGGATTGCATTATTGACTAACCTTGACCCATAAGATGATCAAGGGGTAACGTTGACTCCCTGACTACTTCAACGGTTGTCTTTCTTGATCATCAAGTCATTTTCTCTATAAATACTCATAAATAAATTTGATGGGTTATCCATTTATATTATCTATTTTATTTTATCCACTTTTTTTTTTATCTTAATCTCTATGGAACATCCTTCAACCTTCAAACAATATGTTAAGAATCAGGATACTTCTAGTATCAAGAATGGTGTTTACTTGTCATGGATTCAACACTCATGATGTCTTCTTATAAGTTCCTCTTCCCTTGTAGATACATAATCTTGCAATGAAAAGAAGGAAAATTTATGGTCTCCGATTCAAAGGAACGACTCATAGCTCTAAGCAGAGCTACATTGGTGTCTTGAGATAAAACTACATCTTAACCATATGTGAGTCAATAGGGAGTGAAATCAATTATATTCGTTTTGAAACTCTTTATGGCCTAAAAGACTTTCTACATGGTTTCATATCATTTCTCCATCTTATCTTTAATGTTTTTATTGATTAAATCAAGGATTAATATTCAAAACAATAAATTTCCTCTTGTCATTTCAAGCGAGTATAAAAAAAGTTTATAAAAAAAAAACACATATTTCTTCTTGTAACTTAAGGTTCTTTCGTTTTGGTCTCTCACCTAAATTAATCACCAATTTTAATGACGTGATACTAACATGTGAAATTGTTTTTTCTTTTTTATTTTATTTAAATTCAAGTGGACATTTATTGACGACTCACAATTTATGTAAAAGAATTTAATGAAATAAAAATCACGGATAGAAATAAAAATACTAAATAAAAAAAACTCATTTTCATCATTTAAAAAAAACACATCTTCATTGTTTTCATAATAAATCCAAAAAGAGTTAAAATTCATTCATCTCCTTATCAACTTGAACAAGAGGTTTTTTAACCCATATCACCATTATCATGGCTCTCATTCCCTACCAATATTTTAATTCATCTCTCTATCACCTTGAATAAGAAATAGGTTTTAAACCTGTGTGTGTGTGTATGTGTGTGTGTGTGTGTGTGTGTGTGTGTGTGTGTGTGCGCGCGCGCGTGTGTGTGTAGGTGTGTGTGTGTGGGTGTGTGTGCGCGCGCGCGTGTGCGTGTGTGTGTGTGTGTGTGTGCGCGCGCGTGTGTGTGTGTGTGTGCGCGCGTGTGTGCGTGCGTGCGTGTGTCTGTGTGTGTGTGTGTGTGTGTGTGTGTGTTGTGTGTGTTTGTTTGTAGTTATGAAGCTAATGATCCTTATTGTTGTTTCTTTGGTTGGCTGTTTTAGCCAAAACAACATGGACAAAACAAGATGAATTTGTGAAAAGGCAACATGTGGGACAAGATGTTCCAGCATGTGTCCAACACATGTTCTTAGTCTGAAAGACAAATTCAGTGAGTAAATTTAAGTGTATTTTTGGTTGATTCCAAGAAGATTTTCATTTAAGTATTGTATCTTTTAGCAATATGTTTTTAAAGAATTTGGCTAAAAAGATTGTCTAAGGCCAAACCAAAGTTGATTGAGATCAAATCTCTTGATGAACATTAATGTATAAGAAAATCAAACCTTCATTAAAACTAAATTTGCATTAAATCAAATTTGTTTGCTTTTAATTCAATTGCCCAGGCCCAACAGATAGTTTTCTATATAAGAAGTTCATTCCTAACCAAGAGAAGAGGCACAAGTATTGAAGATCTAGTATGTTACAGTTTGTTGTTTGAGTCTTTGTTCTTGTTGTTCATTGAAACCTCTAAAGAATCCTAAATTGAATATTCAAGGCATATAGGTTGATTGTTATTTGAGTTGTAATTCAACATCTTTAATCTATTGAAAGCATAAACCACTCGAGTAGTGATTGAAAGAAAGTGAGAGGGGCTCTCATATTTAGGGGGAGTCCTATATAAAAAGACACGAGTAGTATTAAGAAGTAGGCATTGAATAAGGTTTTTTCATTAAAGACTAATTGTACTAATACTATTGATAATGAATTTTCTTTATTGGGTTCGAAGCCCTCCAGCCGTAGGTGATGTTGCACTCAACTAGGTTAACAATTTGTCAAACCCCAATTTTGTCCAGGTATCTTAAAATTTTCATGCATCTGACTTTATTTTTACTTTGCATAGCATAGCATGCATTTCATCTCGCATAGTGTCTAAAATGTCACCCGGAATAATTTCTGGGATTTACAGACAGACCGGTCGAATTAAATCTCAATTGTGCGTAAAATCAGTGGACAAAAAATTTCAAAATCGAGCTTGCGGACGTCAATTATATTAATCTACGTTTCGCGTAGTTTTATCTGACGTGTTCGTATTAATTTTTTGACTATTTTTCGTCGCATTCTGATTAGTTTGAGCATTTTAACGGGTCAAAATTTATTTCTAAATTTGAACAAACGTTGTATTTTTCCGAGTCGTTTATTTCGCGCTGATCATTTTGGTGTACTAGAATTATTTATTTGAGCACTTGGGCGCCCGACTTTTATTTATTTGAGATCTATTTATTTTTACATTTTTTACATAAATATTTAGTATAAATAAATAAGATAATTAGCATTTTCATTTTAATTTAATTTTAAATGTTTATTTTTATATTGAATTTAACTAATTATTTAATTTGGACTTTAAAATAAATATTAAAGACGTTATTAACAATTTAGAGTTAATCCTAATTTATAATATATATATATATATATATATATATATATATATATATATATATATATATATATATATATATATATATATATATATATATATATATATATATATATATATATATATATAACACATATATATATATATATATATATATATATATATATATATATATATATATATATATATATATATATATATATATATATATATATATATATATATATATATATATATATATATATATATATATATATATATATATATATATATATATATATATATATATATATATATATATATATATATATATGTGTGTGTTATATATATATATATATATATATATATATATATATATATATATATATATATATATATATATATATATATATATAGTGATGAGGAGGGAAAAAAAAAGTTAGATAAACTGATCGGCGCATGATATTAAGGAACCTCTCAAATTGAAAAAGTCGAAGGTGAGATTTTTTACTATTTCTACCGGTACTGCTAGCTTCACACGCCGGTACTACTAGCTTCACACATTAATTATTGATAACATATACATGTGTTATATGAATTAGTTTTATATTTAACAAGTTTTGTTATAAACATTATAGATGTGTAACAAGTTTTTTATATAATTATAACAACATCTCGATGTCTTGTTTATATATATATATATATATATATATATATATATATATATATATATATATATATATATATATATATATATATATATATATATATATATATATATATATATATATATATATATATATATATATATATATATATATATATATAATTGTTTGGATCGAAT